CCAATCTTTAACCAGAAAGCCCAAAACTGAGCCACACCTGAGCCTAATCCAGGTGAACTAAACCTGGCAGCCACAATATGGGCCATGACAGATCCATATCTCAGCCCCTGTAGGACCATAGCTGGCCCTGTTCTGGTCCTATACGCTGGACCAGATGGGTTCCACATCAGCCTCAACAAAACCATAACCAAGCCACTTGATACACACCCCTCCCAGATGAATAGTTACAACAACGACAGTATTCTGAACAAATATTTAATCATGTTTAATCAGCAAACCAAGCTGAATGAATCTCACACCTAACATGCTTATTTGTGTTGCTTGGGCAGTGTGTTCACCCTGTTGGAGTATGGCCGTGTGAATGGGCTTTTAGGTGCTTTGGAAAACAAAACAAAAAGCAGTAAATATATAGACATTGTTTTATATTAACACAAAATTCTTAAATAAGGTACTTTCTCTATTTTTGCAATATTCGAATGTTCATGTCCCTGAATAATATCTGCATGCACCCAAGTCTGAAGAGTACACATAACATCTCGTAGACAGCAATCCCTGTGAGTGAGACGTCTGGTGTGGAGGCTGGATCTGTCTTCACGGACTGCCCTGAAATACAGATCAAACTAACAACGTAGTGTGAGCCTCTTACATTCACACTGCTCGTTTTGGCCTCGGTGGTGAAGCGTGCAGAAAGTTCTGCCGCACTGAAATGTAGTCTTCGGTGAACAGTCTTCAAGAGTGCAAATAAGAGTTTAAGTTTTAAGCACCTTTCAGGCTCGCGTGAGGTTTCCACAAGCAACAAAGTCTACTTGAACAAACACTTCACTAAAGTTTAGAAAATAATATACATACAGACCGTTACAGTTTGAAACCGCAAGGTTTCTGTGGCCCACATATCTATATCTGACATCTGGGCCATCTCTGCTGTACGCCAGTGCCGGATGCACGCCAAATCTGGGACAAATTTGTTTGCTGATGGGTTAATGATACAAGGACAGACATGAAACGGTTCTTTTAATTCTTTCAAATAAATAATAGATAACTACATAAATTCATAAAGCAGCTGAACTTACAGCATAAAGCAGCTGAAGGCCTTTTCTTATTTAATTTTGACCATTTATCATATTTATTTCCGAACAGAGAGGCAGTGACACGAGAAACACTGTTTTTATCAAACAGAAACAGAAACAGAAACAGACACAAGTTTTCCAACAGTAAGACTTTATTGTTTTTTTAAAGAATTCTGAAATCTTTTGTAACAATATACACAACTGTCTGCGGTCAGTCGTTTCTTTCTTTCTTTGAAGAATGAATACTTGTATTCAGCAAGAATGTGTTAAATTGATCAAAAGTGATAGCAAAGACGTATATTGTTAGAAAATATTTCTATTTTGAGTAAACGCTGTTGCAGCAATATGAAGCAGCACAGCAGTTTATAAACCAGCATAATCAGAATGATTTCTGAAGACACTGTAGCCTAGTAACGGTGCTGAAAACTAGCTTTGCGTCACAGGAATTCATTCTATTTTAAAGTAGCCTATATTAAAATAGAAAACCACTATTTTAAATTGCAATAATATTTCACAATATTCCTGTTTTTTCTGTATTTTTAATCACGTAAACGCATCTTTTTTTAAAACATTAAAAATCGTACTGATCCCAGATCTTTGAACGACAGTGTAAATACAGAGGTTTTCGTTTAATAATAAAAAGCTAAATAGAACGAACACAATTTTACTGTAAATAAGTCATATTTTGATTTTCCACCTTCAACCAATATGCGATGACGTTGCAGTGGACGCCCCGCCCACTGACGCAGCTGCGTGCGTGCGCGCTCTCGCGGCAGCTGAGCTGGTTGGACCGGTTCGGTTCGGTTCGGTTCGGTTCGGTTCTTTCGCCGCTCCGCAGCGTGACAGCTGGCCTCGGTTCGGGTCTCCATGACAACAGAGTCAGCGGAGTGAGTAACTTTAACAAGCGAACACAAACACGCCGAGATGTTGATGAGAGATCAAACTACAGCGGGCCGGGTCGTGTTTAGCTGAGGTTGCTGTCTGAGGGCTTTGTGCGCTTGTCCTTTAAGATCCACTTACAGGAAAATCCCGTTTGTGTCTCCTCTGAATGGGTGGTTTCCCTCATCGTCACACACGTGGCCCGCGTCTCCGTCGGCTGTCTGTGGCTTGTGTGGTCCGGCTGGTGACCGCAGTGGACGTTTGGGTTTGAGGGACAGGAGTACGGTGGCCGAGAAGTGCAAAGCAAATCACAACTCTGAAAACAAAATAACAAGTCAGAAAACACAAGGACGAACCGGAAGAGGTAGGTATAGTTTGAGACTGCGCCATTGGTTTGGGATTACTCTCTGCTGATTGGACGAGACATCTGTCAATCACCGTATACAGAGAAGAACCAGCCGAAGAACAGCAGAGTCCTGGTAGAAAGTTCAGAGATGGTGTTTAAGTAGCTCAGTTTAAATGTGTTGTATGAATTGCTCTTACTCTGGAATAAACAATACGGAGTGTATATTTACATTCAGTTAAAAGTGTCTGTGAAATATCAGCTCCAGTGCCGCAGATGGATAAGTGCATGTCGTTGGCTTTTTGACGCGATCGACCCGGGTGATTATTTCCTTAATTTTTATTGAAAATAATCGCCTTTACGATGTGATACGAGATTTGAAAAGGGAGGGAAAAAAAGTTTGGCAAAAGGCGGGATCGAACCCGGGTCGATCGCGTCAAGAAG